TTTTTTTTTTTTTTTTTTTTTTGGAAGTTTCTTTTAGGCCCTACTTCCAACTCAAAGCCTACGACCATTCTTGTCGGAAATGTCAATAAACTACACTCTCTCATCACAAAAACCTTAAAAAAAAAAAAAAAAAAAAATACAAATTACAAATTACTCAAAAATAATTCCATTTGTTTAAAAAAAAAAAATCAATATTTTTTCATAATTACAATATTATCCTTGCACTTTTACAAAATTTTAAAAACGAGAATATTTTTAAAAGAAAAAAAAAAGTAAGAATTATTTTTATAATTAAACCCATTTTTTCTTAATTTAAAAAAATCCTTATTTTTAAAAAAATAAAATTTTGGGCAACAAAAAGCATGAAGACGAGAAAATCATGAAATGGGTTTTTATTTTTATGATCCAAAAAAATTCATTTTCCAAAATAATAATAATAATTAAGAAAGGAATTTTAAAAAAAAAAATGATAAATGTTCAAAAGAAACTTACCGATGACATCACCGGGCTGGAAAGTCTTAGTAGCAGCCCACTGCTTGTAGTCGACACCGCCGATGGTGGTCCAGCCGGCAGCATCTCCAACCTTATAAACCGCCGCCACCGCCGGCTCTAGCACCATCGACATCACCACCACGAACACCGCCGCCGTCACCGCACCCGTTCTCTCCGCCGCAAAACCCATTTTCCGGCGGTTACCCTCTCAACTTTCAGTCGGCTGAAATGGGTTTTTGAATTTAAGATGGAAACTTAAGAAAGGCCATGCCTTTACCATCTCAATTTATATAATCTCTCTTGAACTCTAGTGGGTTCTTTTACAAATTTTTTATTTTTATTTTTTTTATTTTTAAATATTTTTCTATTTTGAGGTGGCCCCATTTTGGTCATTGGATCTTAGAATCTAAGAAACAACGACTATTTAAATATTTCTTCTTTTTTTTTTTCTTTTTTGCATTTTATTTTAATTCTAATTTTAAATTAATAAAAATATCTATCAATTTTGCACTCTCTCAAACATATTATTCCATTTTAAAAATTTTAATAATACTCTAAACTTCAAAAAATAAATAAATAAATAATAATCTACTATTAGTTCCAAAGAAAAAAAATTAAAAAAATTAAATTTTTGGTATATTTTTAAATAAAATATCATAAAAATATTCTTTTGAATTTTTTTAAAATTAAAGGCCATTATTTAAAAATATTTTTAATAAAATATATAAAATTGAGAGGGGACCAAAATTAATGAAAGCTTTATTAAATTTTAAACCATATTGTTTAATTAGGCAATGAAAATTTATTTGGAGTAAAAGAAGGAATGCATTTAAATTCAGCTCTTGGATCTTTCATAACATTAAAAAGGATATATATATATATATATATATATATATTTTATTATTATTATTATTATTATTATTTACTTATTTATTTATTTATTTATTATAAACTTTTCTTTTGGTCATTAATGGTTGGAGTTTGAAGAGCTTCAAAGGAAAGAACGGAATGTTTAAGCCTTGCTGGTAAGTTGTTAGCGCGTCGAGTATGGTACCATCGACTACAAAGTCGTCTCTACATAACTTTTTGACGGGTAAGAAATTTCGTGTTGTTTTTCTTTCACCATTTGGTATTTCGGGTGTTTTTTTTTTTTTTTTTATAGTCCAAATAACCACGGTTTGGTCAGTATTTCGTATCACCATCCCGGAAGGTATAAATAAAAGTAATTTTTGTTCGTTTGGTGCTCGGCCGATGATATAAAGTTTGTAATACTTTTTTCGCGGGAGAAGTTAATTTGGTAAAGAACTTATATTATTTATTGGGTTAGTTGTGAGAGATGATGATGATGAATAAGGTAGATATTACATCATCATCAAAGGTATATATTGATGAGAAGCAAATTTATAATTAAGGACAACATTTCCGTAATAATGAATTTTGAGTGAATGTAAAAACACGTCTATATAAAGCAACGAGATCACAGTGGAGTTAGGTTATGATTATAGTTGAGTTGGGTTGATTTCAAATGTTAACGGGTTCTCGTAATATTAAATTGAATCGAATCAAATTTCAAAATATATAATTTTGCGTACGATACAATTGTATACACATATTTTTATTATATTTCATATTTTTTTTATTAATTATTTTCTAACATACATTTTGGTTTTATTTTTTAACTTGACTACTCGAATTAACCCAACCTGACTATTGGCATACTGTTTTTTTGTGAGATCCCACATCGATTGGAGAGGAGAACGAGTGTCAACGATGATGCTGAGCCTCGAAAGGGGTAGACATCAGGCGGTGAGCCAGCGAAGACATTGGGCCCTGAAAGGGGGTGGATTGTGAGAACCCATATCGATTAGAGAGGACCAATGAGGACGTTGAATCCCGAAGATGGAGGACATTGAGCGGTGTGCCAGCAAGGATGTTGGGCCCCAAAGGAGAGTGGATTGTGTGATCCCACGTCGATTAGAAAAGGAGAACGAGTACCAGCAAAGACGCTAGGCCCCTAAGATGGTGGATTGTGAGATCCCACATCGGTCGGAAATGAGAACGAAACATTCTTTATGAGGACATAAAAACCTCTCCTCAACGAACGCGGTTTTACCGATGCGTTTTAGAACGTTTAGGACAACTAGATTAGGTCTAATGAATTTTTTTTAACATTAAATTCTAAACAAATTACAAAAGTTAATTAAACTCTCTATTTTCTGTTTCCCACAACAATAATATAAATAAAAGGGAAACAAAATAATTAAAAATAACAACAATATTCATACCCTTTCCCCCGCCCCAACGAACTAATAATAAACCAAAATCCCAATTTACAACTGATACGAAACAGAATCGAACCCATTCCCATTACTCTGCCCATTCTTCACCGCCGCGCCCCGCCCATTAACCCCAACAGCCTTCACAGGCTCCTCCGCATAACGACGGCGATCCTCACCGTCGTCGTCCATAAACCTCTTCCACAGCCAGTGCTGCTTCCACACCCTATCCGTCATCTCTTCGATCGGAACATTCTTGGTCTCCGGCAGCAGAAACAGAACGAACACGGACATGACAAGAACCCAGCCGGAGAAGAACAGGAAGATCCCGAACTTGAAGTGGCAGAGCATGGAGAGAAAGGCTTGAGCGATGGCGAAGGTGAACAGGAGATTGACACACACGGTGATGCTCTGCCCCGCCGATCGGGTCTCCAAAGGGAACGTTTCGCTCGGAATTAGCCATCCCAGAGGCCCCCACGACCAGGCGAAGGACGACACGAATGTGCAGACCATTACCACCACGACGATGGCCAGTGCGTTGTGGAGATTGTTCGTATCGTCCTTCACTTTGATTCCTAAAATCACTGCGATCACCACCTGTTCATCCAATCGATTGATTTAGTTCTTAATTTCTGTTTAAAATGTTTGATTAAATTCACAATCCGATCTAATCCATTGATTTAATTTCTGTTTAATCTGTTTAAAATGTTTGATTCAATTCATAATCCGATCTAATCTCCATACCTGAGAAATAAACATCTGAACTCCGGCTTCAAGCAAGAGAATCCGGCGGCCAAGTTTATCGACAGAGTAAATCGAGACGACGGTAGAAGCAACGTTAACAGCTCCGGTGATGACGGCGGAGTACAGAGCGGCGTCGTTTTTAAACCCCAAAGTGCTGAACAAAACCGGCGCGTAGAACATAATCGCGTTGATTCCAGTGAGTTGCTGGAAGATTTGTAGTGCGACGGCGATAATGATCTGCGGCCGATTCCGCCGCCTGAGTAAGTTTCGAAATGGGTGTTTTACTTCCTTCGCGATCCGGCTCGCTTCGACCAGCTCCAAAAACTCCGGTTCGATATTTTCGGTTCCTCTAATCCTTTTCAGAGTGGCTTTTCCTTCTTCAAAACGACCCCGTTCTATCAAACTGTTCGGGGTTTCCACTACTAAAAGAGCTCCGATTGTAAGTAGACCGGCCGGGACTCCGGCCAGCCCTAAGGATAGCCTCCATCCCCATCCTTCTTTAATTCTGCAATTAATTTGAATTAAAATTAATTTTCCAGCTAAGCTTGTTATAGATGACACGTGTGATTAAAATAAAATGGGAAAATGCTGACTTGGCAGTTCCGTAGTTGATGAGGCTGGCGAAAAGTATGCCAATGGTGACGTTGAGTTGGAATAATATATTAAGTCCGCCACGTATTCTTGTTGGTGCAATTTCCGATAGAAATAATGGCACTGCCTGTAATTAAAAATACAAAATTCATTTATTTTAAAATTTAATTTTCTTTTATTATATTTTATTTCAAAGAGTTGAATTTAATTAGCCAATAGAAAAATCTTGGGTTAATTATAAAATAATAAAAATTCAACACCTTCAAACAAGACAAAATAATAATTATTATTAAATAAATAAATAAATAAATAAATAAAATTATAAATAATGCATCGGGAATCCAAAGGGTGGCCAAAGAATCACGTTGTGAACTCAAAGACAAATTATTTAGAAAGCAAAAGGGAAAGAGAAGATTCATATAAAAATTTTGTTTATTTGTTATCCATCTTTTTCATCAATAAAATATTATATATTCGACGACAAAATTAAAAATTTAAGAATCTATTAGATATTTTTGTATTTTGAAGAACGGATCTTATTTTTTAATTATTTGGAGTCACATGATTTACGAACATGGAAGATCGGACCTGTTGTTTTCAAATGATTCCCTTCGTGATATTAATTTTTAATGTGTATTATAGGTCAAACAAAATGACCACCACTTTCATGACTAGAAATTAGGGTAAATAATTCAAAGAATCTGACCTGATTGGCGAAACCGACACCACAACCAAGCAAGATTCTACCAATAATGAGCATTTCGATATTTTGTGCGGCGGCGTTGAGGACGGTACCAATTATGAAAAACACGCCGGCGATCAACATGGTCGGCCGTCGCCCGAGCCGTCGTGTGGTGTAGGAGGCGAAGAAGGTGGCAGTTAATCCAGCGAGATATAAGGACGATGTGAATAGTTGAAGGCCTTGGTTATCGTATTTGCAATAGTTACTATCGCCGCCCTCTTCGATTCTCCGGTGAACCATCGGGAAGAATTTCTTTAAAAACGATGGCATCGACGTTACTCCACCTGAGATTAAAAATAATAAAATTAAATAAATTTGGTCTCTAAACTTTTAAATTTATATCTACTAAATCAATTAATTTACTCACCGGAAACACCGACGTCGTAACCGAACATGAGGCCGCCAGTGGCGGCCATAACACAAGAAATGATGACGATGGGAGTGATTTTGGCCTCGAACTCGGCGCCGCCAGCGGCGGTGGAGAATCCTCCGGCAGGCATGGTGGCGAAGAAAACAGCAAACGAGGTGCCAAATTTGAATGAAGAAGAGACTGAAACACTTGGTTGCATCTTGCCCGCCGTGTGGTTTCGGATTTTATAGGCGACGATGAGAGAGAAAGTAGAGAGAAGCAGGTCAGAGACATCGCTAGGATCCTTCCACGTGGTGATTTGAACGGCTGATGTTTATCGTAGACGGCTAGTCAACACCAAATTATTTTACGGATGGATAAACCGTGTGTGAATTCAATATTCAACTTAAATTCCAAATCTTTTCCAATAAAAAAAAATCCAATTTCCTTTTTTGAATTTACATATTTATTAATTTAAATTTTGTGGATAAGATATTTATTATATATTTTCTATGCGCGCAAATTGTGATGTCCCACGTTATTTGGGGAGGGGAATAAATTACAG